ACTGCGGAGGTGACTGAGGCGCTCGAACGTGTGTCTGCCCTTGTACGAACCGGTCCCACTGTGGCCTGTAGGAGAGAGCTGGCAGTGAGCAGCGCCTCTACACAGAGCTCCTGTCAACCTGACTCTGAGTGTACACGCTGCTCCCTCTTCACCATAACAGTTCAGTACAGCAATCGCATCACTGCAGATGCTGCACCGACCGTCTGTTCAGGACCAGGACCAGGACTAGTAGAGGACTGTCGTCTTCCCCCATAGTGTCCCCATAGCGGACTCTGGGAAATGAGGGCAGAGTGATGTCACATAACGCAGACTCACCCACTCCACCAAACGGCAGCTCAGACACTGTGAAGTGAACCAGACAGTCATTGGACACAAGAGCTCCACTGGAGGTCTCTGCCAGCATCCTCTGGAGGACCTGAGAGAGAGAGAGACCAGAGAGTGAGGGAGAGATAGAAATCAGAGAGAGAGACCAGCGAGAGAAAGAGAGAGAGAATGCGAGACCAGAGAGAGAGAAAGAAAGACCAGAAAGAGAGACAGACAGAGAGCGAGAGGGAGAGATACACACAGGGAGAAGGAGATACATAGAGACATAAATAATAAGTGTGTAGCAAAGACAGAGTTTATGTGAGTCCGTACTGCCCTCTTCTGGTGACAGATGAATACTGCAACACCAATGGAATTGGCTGATAAACACTCAAGATAGAGAGGGAGACCAGAGAGAGAGAGACCAGAGAGAGACCAGAGAGAAGGAGAAGTAGACCAGTGGGAGTTGTTCACAAAATTTTTAATGTTTTCTTCTTTCTGTTGAACAAACTCCATGCGTTATCAATGAGACTACATTTACGTCCCTGAGCTTTAAAGACTCTGAGGGGGTTTCTCACCTTCTGGTCCTCAGTGAACACATAGAGCACCAGAGGTTTCTCTCGGTCATTGATGAACTGAATGGCCTGGTCTAGTCCTGGGACCGGGACGATGGGCAGAACCGGACCAAAGATCTCCTCCTGCATCAGCTTAGAGTCCGGAGACACGTCCTGTAGAACCGTGGGACCTGGAGGACAGAGAGGCATGTTGTGTAGACCCGTGTCCACTTTTAGATCACAGAAGACAGAGACAGAACAAGCTGGTTTCTCTCTGTTCTATGGTTTCTCTTGTTGGTCTCTCTCTGTTTTCTCTCTTTGGTCTCTCTCTCTGGTCTCTCTCTGGTCTCTCTCTCTCTGAGACCAGAGAGAGGAGAGAGTCTCTCTCTCTGGTCTCTCTCTCTGGTCTCTCTCTCTCTGGTCTCTCTCTCTCTGGTCTCACTGATGTAGCAGTCTTCCTGGTCACAGTCTCCGCCCACAGCCACAGTGTCCGCCTCCATCATTGCTCTGATCCTCTGGAAGTGTCTCTGGTTTATGATGCGGCCGTAATCCTGGAAACTCTGAGGATCCTCTGTGTAGAACTCCTGCAAACACACGATTCTGGTCTGAGGAGTCTCGATCTATATCAGTAATTTATGCAGCAGTAGCAGTAACAGCAACAGTAGCAGTAGCAGCAGCAGTAACAGTAGCAGTAACAGTAGCAGCAGTATCCTCTGACCCTGATGCACCTCTGTATCTCCTGCAGCAGCTGGTTCTGGATACTGGGGTCACACAGGACGTAGTCTGGAGCAATGCAGGTCTGACCACAGTTCACAAACTTCCCCCACGTGATTCTCCTGAGACACAGGAGTCAGAGACTTAGAGCTGAGGACTTTAAAGATACAATTAGTCCTGGGTCTACAGCCTCAGTCCTGGGTCTACAGCCTCAGTCCTGAGTCTACAGCCTCAGTCCTCACCGTGCTGCCACCCTGAGGTTGCAGTCGTGGTGGACGTAGCAGGGGCTCTTGCCCCCCAGCTCCAGGGTGACGGGGGTGAGGTGAGCTGCTGCCGCCTCCATCACCAGTCGTCCCACAGAGCTGCTGCCCGTGTAGAAGATGTGGTCCCAACGCAGTCTCAGCAAGTCCTGGGTCTCAGACACTCCCCCACACACCACAGGGTACAGCTCCTGGAGAAGGGAGAAACAGGAAAGATAGGTGAGAGAGGGGAGGAGAGGAGAGAGGTGAGAGAGGGGTGAGGAGAGGAAAGAGAGGAGAGTTAGGTGAGACAGGGGAGAGGGGTGAGCAGGACTAAAGCAGGTATAAAGCAGACCTGGTCGAGGTACAGGGGCAGAAGCTCCTCCATGGCTTTGGCCGAGTGAGAGCTGACCTCTGACGGTTTAATGACGGCAGCATTCCCTGAAAAACAAAGAAACGGGTCATTGCTGAACTGCGGTTCGCTGCTGAAGTTCAGGCGTAATTAAAGCTGGGGGACATAACTTTAGTCTCATGTAGTTTGTTGTGATGTCACCTGCAGCGATGGCCCCCACCAGCGGCTGCAGAGTCACAGCCCAGGGGTAGTTCCAGGCCCCGATGATGAGGACCAGGCCCAGAGGCTGAGGCTGGACGTAGACCTGGTCCCGGAATGTCAGGAGGGTCTTCTCCACAGGACGAGGAGCCGCCCAAGTGTCCAGCTGCTCCAGGGCCAAGAGAACCTCCCCCTCACTGCCCAGAACTTCGAAGAGCTCTGTGGCCAGCTCACTCTGAGAGACACACAACTGTTACACAAATGTATATACAGTACACAACACATATACACACACTATCTATCTCTCTCTCTGGTCTCTTTCCCTGGCCTCTCTCTGGTTTCTCTCTTTCGATTATCTCTATTTCTGGTCTCTCTGTCTCTCTCTATCTGTGTGCTCTCTCTCTCACTGGCCTCTCTTATCTCCTTCTTTGTGGCCTCTCTTGTCTCTCTCTTTGTGGTCCCTCTTAGTCTGGTGTGTCTCTCAGGTCTCTCTCTCTCGGTATGGTCCCACCTTGCCCAGGTCTTTCTTCAGGGCCTCTGCGATCTCGGTACTTCTCTCAGTCAGAAACCTGAGCAGGTTTTTCAGCTGCAGTTTCCTGAAGTCCAGAGAACGGGTTTTCCCAGATCTGAATGCAGAGCGAGCCCTGTGCACGACCTGCTCCTGCTGGGACATCACTCTGCAACACAACACATAGATCTCTTCAAATCCTCATCAGGTCTCTCTCTGGCCTCTCTCTCTAGGTGATCTTTCTCTCTAGGTGTTCTCTCTCTGTGTACTCTCTCTGTGTTATATTATTTTCTCTCTGATCTCTCTCTCAAGTCTTTCTCTCTAGCCTCCTCAAGCTGCAAAAGGATTGATATAGAAAAAAGGCAATTTCTTAGCAGCCAAATGGTCCACTTCATGTTTGACACCTGCAGCCCTTCCAATATTAACAAATAGAGTTTACTTGGAAAACTTTAGCACACACTTAGCAACAAGAACATATGTGCTGGTTTGTAATATGTTGCTACTCAAATTAAACTGGAGATTTTTTTTTTAAATAGCTCGATCATGCAGAAGACTGTTGTGCTAAAGTTGTGCTAGCTTTAGCCTCTGACAAACCCGAACCTCAGCTCAGCGCAGGAATATATAAAGGTGGCATTTTTATTTTATTATTCTTGCCTTGAAATGTGAACCCACGGCGCAGAAACACTGAGGGAAGATCCGCCGAGGCTTAGATTTTAATGTTATAAACTTTCGCAGCGCAAAACAAACAAACGGGCTGAAACTGGACCAATCACAGAGCAGGACAGGCGCTATATCCCGCCCACACCGGAACAATAACATAATAGAAAATATATGAAATAAATAGAATTATTTTCGTTGATATTGTGTTGGAAGTATTCTATCATTATGCTGTTACTTTCAGTAGAAAATATATATATATATATTATAACTATTTTACTTTTTACGGGAAAACAGCTTTCTATGCAACCACAAAATGTATAATATACTGTAATCTACTCTACTCTAGTGAAGATACAATCCTTCAGTTGTATGCACAGCTAAACAGAACTGCCAGTCCCTGTGATCCTCAAAGTCCATATAGAGTATATGAACAGAGTTGGTTCATATAGCTCCTTGAAAAATCTGTTTTTTTTTCTTTTTGGGATTTTCTAAGACATAGAACACAACAAGTTTGACGTAACAGTGTCTTAAACCAAGTCATAGAGAGACCAGAGAGAGAGCAAAGAGACCAGAAAGAGACAAGAGAGAGACCAGAGAGAGCAGAAAGAGACCAGAGAGAGACAAGGGGGAGACAAGAAACAGGGGAGAGACATGAAAGAGACCATAGAGGCAGGAGAGAGACAAGGGGGACAGGGCTGTTCCTGAGAAACGATTACTTTGTTTTGAATAATGCAAACCAGTTCTTCACCTGCCTCACCCTGTTTGATAAGCTCTCACACAAACACTTTCACTTTTGGGCTCCTTCCTTTTCAGTTTGACGCAGGTGAATTTCTGTCAGAACAACTGCATCTGCACCTTCTTCTCAAACCTGCACCACCCATGGCTCCAGGGTCTCAGGCTGGACCTCCAGTCATCCTCCTCCTCCTCTTCTTCCTGCTCCACGCCTCTGCTCTTGGTGAGATTCAGCACCTCAAACTATTCATTGTCTTTTTCTTTGAGCATCTGTTAAAACACAATTGTATTGACCACTGTAGTCACTTTGTCAGCCTGGGCCTTAGCTTCTGATCGATGTGCAAGTGTGCAAGGATGAATGTCCAAAACTTACAAGTATGATTAAGGGGATTTCATGAGTTTCCATCTGCACCTAAATAAATCAATACAGAAATAATAATAGAAACAAAAAATAGGACAATAGTCGGTAACTAGATTGGCCACAACACACAAATATTGACAAGGAGTGATGTCTCTCTCTCTCTGTCCCTGTAGAGCCCATGGAAGTGAGAGTTGGGGTCGCTGTGGTCCTGCCCTGCTCAGCCCCTCTTCAGATGGACCTGGAGAACCTGGTCCTGGAGTGGACCCGAGAGGACCTCAGAGACACATACATGTTCTTCTTCAGAGATGGACGACCGTACCTGCAATACCAGGACCCACTCTTCAAGGACCGCGTGGAGCTGCAGGACCCTGACATGAAGGTCTCACTGTGTTCCACTTTCGAGAGAGAGAGAAAGAGAGAGGAATAGAGAAAGAGAGAGAAATAGAGAGAAAGAGAAATAGATAAATAGAGGGAAAGAGTAATAGAGAGAAAGAGAGAGAAATAGAGAGAGAGAGAGAAATAGAGAGAAAGAGAAATAGAGAAATAGAGAGAAATAGAGAGAAAGAGAGAGAAATAGAGAGAAAGAGAAATAGAGAAATGGAGAGAAAGAGTAATAGAGAGAAAGAGTAATAGAGAGAAAGAGTAATAGAGAGAAATAGAGAGAAAGAGAAATTGAGAGAAAGAGAAATAGAGAGAAAGAGAAACAGACATAGAAACAGACAGACAGACAAACAGACAGACAGACAGGGTGTCTGGTGTTATGGGACCAGTCCAGTTTATTGTTAACGTGAACACAAAGTGGTTTTCTCCTGAAGTCGATTACCATCTCCATGGTCTTACTGGTGTTCTAGCACAAGTGGTTGAACACCAGTAAGACCACCAGTAAGACCACCAAGAACAGAAAGAGGTGGTTTCAGTGACAATCTCTTGCTGTTCTCATGTTTTAAAAACACGTACATCCTGTCACAGTTGCATACTCATTATTATTAGTCACATTATTGCTCATTCATACAACCCGAAAGCCCATTTCCTGGTTTGTGACAGTGATCACGTACAACATTAATTCCACTCGTGATTTGTTTCTCTAAATCAACATTTCTTATGACTGCAGTCTATGAGAACAATGTGTGAGAGCAGGCGCTGATCATGTGTTTGTTCATCGCTGTTGTGAGCGCGTTTAGTGAATGAAAACACCACAGTCCCACCTCAGCTTCAGATGAGGTGAGACTGTGCACACCTTGCAGCTGCTCAGGTCAGTGTTGTGGGAAACACTGACGCATTGACAGTATTTGGAACAGCAACAACACATCTGACTTTACGTTGAATATATCCAATAGCTATCCTTCCTCAGAAACACCACGAGAAATGCGTCTGTATTTTCAGATTCAGATTCAGATTCATTTATTTGCCATTTGCAGTAAAACCACATTGGAAAAACTGTGCAAGACTACCCCAGTGTGCGCCAGACAGAGAAGACGACACACACCAGAGCTCTTGCCACGGCGCCATCTTTCCGGCGCCATGCGACAAACAGTAGAATAAACAGCAGAGAGCAATAACATTCAGGTTACAACAGACAGTTGGATAGAAAACATTGTGCTTTGTATAAACCACGGATTTTTTTCTTGGGATGAGCACCTCCGGCTGCCGGTCCAATGTGGCTGTCAGAGGGGGGCGGGGTCAGGGAGGGGGTGAGTCGGAAACACAGTGAGGAGTGGAGGGGAGGGAGAGATCAGAGGGAGGCGGGGGGAGCGGGATCCAGGCTGGAACTGACTGAAAGAGTGTGAATTGTTGTAGAGTCCAGATTTATTATTATGGCCTTGGCCCGAGGAATGTGAGATAAGAGTGGGGAGAAGACACAGCAAGGAGAAAACACATCTTCCTGTAACGAGGGACAATATAGTATGCATTTTAGCAGTCAAAAACAGGCAGATATTCTATTAAATCCAATTAAACCGAATTACGGCGCCCTCAGACCCCGTACACAGGGGCAAATCCAAGCCGGGTCAGAGAGTTCAAGCGTGACAAACAATGTCATTCAATCTCAATTCCAGAGTTTTATGCCCATCGAGTGAACGAGCTGCGAGATCTTTGATCAACTGTTCCACTAACACCACTCTTCGTTGTCCAGCCACAGCACTCTCAACCACGACTCGGTTAAGCTCCTTGTACATCCCATCAATTTTGTTGGCCAGCAGGTCGTGAATCTTGCGAACTGCCATGCCTCCGAATTTGTGGTAGAAGAGAACCGCTCCAAACCCAAACAGGAGGATCCCCACCACCAAAAAGCCAAAGATATATACGTCTTCCGAATCTTCAATGGACAGGGTCGACAGACAGAGGGGCTGCCACTTGTACCAGCTGTCAAGCGTATAACCCGCTGGTGAAGTCCCGTCCGGGCACACGGGCTCTCCAGACCCACGCTTACGTGTTGAAAAGATAGAATCAATTGCGTTGAGGGACCAATTTACCATTTCCATTCTTGCTAAAAGTTGTCTGTGGCAAAACTCCAGGAAAAAGACAAAAACAGGAGATAGCAAGCAGTCAGAAGCAGGAGCGTCTGAGACACGTCTATGCTCGACGGAGGCGGAAGAGAGAACGAGTTGATCTTAATATTTACAGTCTAAGGTTGATCTATGAGTGAGAAGAACTCGCTCGCCGTAAATCGGAGCATTAGTGCAAAAACAACCAACTCTACAAATAGCATTTGTACAGTAGTGGAATGACAGTGGCTTCTATTGTTGACTGTTGAAACAATTGTTAAAACGTTTGATTGTTACAGCATTTTCATTTAAAATTAGAAGAAAAACATATTAAATTTCAGTTGTATTAGTTTTATAAATTAATGGAATAACATAATGCAGTACTCGTATCGGTATCGGCAAGTACTCAAATGACGGTACTTGAAACGGTGCATTTTGATCCTCGAACCTTTTAATAGAAAAACTGTAAACTCGTTACATTCATTAACATTATCCACAAGTATATTAAAACCACTTGTAATGACTAAACCATCAAAATCTGTGTACACAACTGAAAGCAACTCTGTAAAATTATCAATAAAACTGTGACATGACTGTGGAGGCTTGTACAGGACAATAAGAAATTGGGAGAAAAACAGTTAAGAAATGTGCACAACTCAAACCAGAAACTCCAAATCAAATTATCTGTCACGTGGGTAAAATCAAATGAGACCCAAAATGCAAAACTGCAAAATAATGGATTTAATAAAAAGTAATACAAAATTAAAGCCGCAAGCGGTGTCGAACGGCCCTCCCCGCACCGCACAAAGGAGGTGGCGCTGACTTGCCATTTTCCTGCAGCCCTGACAGGAGCGACACTGTGTATTTTGAATGCCTATGAGCAGTGTTTGTGTGTCTCTATTGAAAAGATAAACCTCATTCTCCCCATGTAACACTGAACTCAGTCTGTAGGGGGCGCTATTCCAATATGGTCTTTTACACTTTCAGTTTACCTAAACCCGAGAGTTGAATAGTCAATTTTAATTTTGTGCAAATCGGACTTTGTATGTGCAAATGTAGGGCATTTTTGTTGTAAAATAGCGCCCCCTATTTCAATGTTTTAATGTTAGACCAGAGAACACCAAAATAATACATTTTATGCCTGAAAAAAAGTTGTGGCAAAAATGTTTGAGTTTTCGTGTTTGTTCAGACACGGCTCTCATGTCTTATCAACTCCCTTGGCTGCACTGTTCAACCTATCTCTTTCTGCAAATACTGTCCCTCTCTCCTGGAAATGTGCCAAAGTAATTCCACTACATAAATCTGGTGACCCCAAGAATATCAACAACTACAGGCCCATTTCAATAATCAATAGTATCGCCAAAGTCTTAGAAAAAAATATTTTTAACCGGCTATCTATCTATCCCACTGACAATAATCTTTTATCTCAAAATCAATCATACTTCAGAAAACTATGGAGGACCGTGGCTGCCAAAACAATAAATATATACAGAAATAAATAAATAAATTTTAAAAAGATAAAATTAGCAAAGAAATGCATGCAATTATGAGAATAAGTGCATTTATTTCTGTATTTATTTATTTATTTATTTCTGTATTTCTGTATTTATATATTTATTTATTTATTTTTGTATTTATTCATACATTTATTTCTGCATTTATACATTTATTTCTCTATTTCTGTATTTATTTATTTATTTCTCCATTTATTTATTTCTCTATTTATTTATTTATTTTGCATTTATTTATTTATTTTATTAAATAGAGAAATAAATAAATAAATGCAAAAATAAATAAATAAATAGAAAAATAAATAAATAAATAGAGCAATAAATAAATAAATAGAGAAATAAATAAATGGAGAAATAAATAAATAAATACAAAAATAAATACAGAAATAGAGAAATAAATGTATAAATGCAGAAATAAATGTATGAATAAATACAAAAATAAATAAATAAATATATAAATAAATAAATACAGAAATAAATGCACGTATTCTCATAATTGCATGCATTTCTTTGCAAATTTTATCTTTTTTAAATTTATTTATTTATTTCTGTATATATTTATTGTTTTGGCAGCCACGGTCCTCCATAGAAAACACTTCTCTACAACTACTGCTCTTTTAAAATTCACAAATGATATATTTTCAAGTCTTGACAAAAGTTTATTTACAGGTGCAATATTTACTATTATTTACTGTTCAAAACCAAACATCTCAGATATTTGCAACTCCCTGCAATATGATTTTGATTTAGTTCAACATTGGCTCTTGTCCAATAAACTCATTTTAAATACATCCAAATCATTTGCCATACTTTTTCAGAAGAGAAACATTTACCTGAGCTCAACCTTCACTTTTTAGATTTGTCTCCTGTTCAATGTGTGGAAGAGTTCAAGTACCTCGGCCTTTGGCTGGATTCAACCCTTTCTTTTAAAACTCATATCTATAAGACCGTCAACAAATTAAACTATTTTTAAAAACTTTATATCGCTCCATCAACTGCTTTAATTTTTCCGTCAGGAAAAGGCTTGTTTCTCAATTACTACTTCCAATCCTTGATTATGCCCACGTTGGTGATCAAAACACAACCGCCACATGTCTCCATCCCCTCCATACTGTCTATAACAGCCTGTGTAGGTTTGCTCTGCGCTGCCCCTAAAGGACATGTTTCTCCAACTGTCCTGGTCCTCACTGCCTTCACGTTGACACTCCCACTGGTTGTTCTTCATTTTTAAATGTAATTATTTTAATTGTCCCACATACCTGAAACAATATCTTACACATTTTAGTTCCACTTACAATCTTCGTCAAACTGACACTGATCTTTTCTTCCACACCCCCCGTGTTAAGAAATAGGAAAACATGCTTTTCATTACAAAGCCCCAACAG